TTGATGGCTTTATCTGCATGTCGAATATACGTCAGGGTGCCTGGTTACAGCAAGACTCTCCACTAATGTGGTTACAAACATTGGTTCTGTAGTGCAGACTGGACTTTCACCATGTTTCACTAAAGCCTTACTCTGACCAAGATCAAATGTCTAAACATTGACAGTTTCTTATCAGTGCCTAATTTACTTGGAATATTTGTATCGGAGAAGAGGGGGAGCAGTGGCTGACAACATCCATCAAGGGCCTCCTCTCCTACTGGGACATTTCCCAATGAGAGAGGGGAAGCCAACTCTTAACACTTTTTCCATTGCTTTGACAACTGTGCTGCTGATGTATTTTGGCTACATCATTCCAGTAGAGCTGCCTCCTTTGCGTCCAGTGAACATTCTGTGTTGGATGTATGGTAGGTGCGGCACCCTGAACAGCCCAAGTGATGTGCGCAAGGCAAAGGTGACACAGCAGCTGGCACTGTTCCTTGAATTTCCCATAATGCATCAAGAGTGTCAGCATGCTCTGCTGCCTTGTAATAACACAATGAAAGAGCATTCCATCTGGGGGTATGTGTGTGTCAAAATTAACAGCAGTCTCTTTAGTGGTCAGTAGGTGTGAATAGCTCTGGTATATTAGGGCCTGATTTGGGGAGGTGCTGAGCACCTCATCTTCTATGGAAGTTCATAACGTTGGTTGCTCAACACCATGCAGGTTTGTCTACACTACGGGGTTAAGTCGAACTAAGTTATGCAACTCCAGCTACGTGAATAATGTAGCTGGAGTCGACGTAGCTTAGGTCAACTTATTGCAGTGTCTACACTGCACTGGGTCAACGGGAAAAACTCTCCCGTCAACTTACCTTACGCTTCTCGTTCCGGTGGAGTACCGGAGTCGATGGGAGAGCGATTGCGGTCCACCTAAGACCCGCTAAATTGAACCCCCCATTGGATTGATCACTGCAGCGTCGATCCACAGTAAGTGTAGACATGCCCTTAGTTTTGAGAGCGAATCCAAAGCAATAAGAAATCACCATTGAAAACACAGCGGATTCCCATTGTTTGCATGTTCTATGACACTGGGATTCTAAAAGACAAAGTATGAAAAATATGTTTAAAGAGAAACACAAAAGGCCTGTCTGCCTTTTCACTTGCAATTAGTAAATGTATTTTCACACAGCTAAAATCCAACACATTACATTTTTTTTCACTTTTAGAGAGCTGACAGGCAATAAATTCTCAAAGGAGAGAGGAAAGTGCAGTTCATACTGCTAACCTGCTTGCTTTCATGATAATAGACATAAATCCCTAAGACACATCATCTCTCCATGTGACCGAAGTCTGTGAACTGTTAAAAACAATAACTTCAAGGATGCTGCTTAGGCATCAATTTGCATCAGTTATTTGTGATTTTCCTTATAAGTCAAGGCATGAATCTTAGGAAAATGGTTAGATGCTAGATCATGACCTCTTTTATGAAGTTCACTTTAGTCACTGAAATACCAAAGTATTTGTCAATAGAGTCAAATGCTCAAAGAGTAAAATGTTGAAAAGAGTGGAAGAGTCTTTAAATGTCTTTGTAGCTAGTAATCCTGGCTCCCTGTGGGGGCTCCCCCCCTTTTTTTCCATCCGAAAAGCTTTCACATATATTTTTTTAAAAACAGCTGCTTGAGATTCAAGAATGGGATTTTAATGGGCATTGAAGACAAACAAAGACAGCAGCTACAAAAATGAAGTCTACTGGAGGCAATTGCTCCTTTTGTTCATTTGAAGAAAAACAAGCAGGTTGCTGGGGGGAGGGGAGGAAGCAAAGAAAGCCAGTGGAATTCTTGATTTTGCCTTGTTTGCAAATCTTTAGACCTTGTTTTAAACCGGGTATTTCCCATATGTCATGGGACACCTTCCATTTTGTGGTTTTGTGAGATGAGAATCAAATTTTTAGCTTTATTTAAACAAACATTGGCACAAAAGAATTTGCGTTTAACATTTTTCTTAGGTTTCCTGCTTAGAGGATTAGTTGTGTCATTCTTACTACACAAATAGTGCCACTGATTTCTCTGGGTGATTTCTGTAGTCAGGTACAACTTGCCATGAGAAAGGAATGTATAATTGAGCCTAAAGAAAGATCTGTGTCCCTTGGATAACAAATCTTTTTGTTTAGCTACATACTCAGTTTGTTAGGCAGCAGATAAGTGACCCACATTTAGATCATCTGTAAATAGGAGATGGGGATGAATATGGGCTATGTCCTCTTAATGATCCATCGTGAATATCTGTGAGATTAAATAGTCTGATACATTGTACCATTTATGCACATAGAGTTATTTGGAATAAATACCCTATGTGTACTCGAGAGGGCTGGGGAACTCTTGCCTTCTAAGCAAGGAGGCATAAATCTTTGGAACCTGTTGGTGCTTCTTTAATTCTAATATTTAGATTTAATAATTAGCAGCTGTCAGATTAATGAATAGCTAAAGATGCATGAAAATGTAATTTTCTGATCATTGCTGTCATAGACAAGCAGGAGCTGTTTCAATCTTGCATCGTACGGCATGTCTCAGAGGAGACAGTGGATAGAAATACAGAGATGAATTTTTCTACAGACATTGTGAAAAGCTTTTTAATACTTGATTTTCCCAAGCTGCGCTTTTTGGGTATGTTTTTACCATTATTGAAACTAACTCCAAGAGGTGCTGAGCACTTTCAGTTCCTAGAGTGTAGTGGATCCTCAGCACCCCTCAGCATCAAGCGCTTTGTTAGCACAAAGGGGTTTGTTAGGTAACCAGCTGTTTCTAGTAACATCAGATATGAATAAGTGTGGAATGCTTGTCCCCTGAGTAAATGGACTTTGCACAGGGCCCGGTTCAGGAGGTGTTGAAGGCAAGATGTGGGTGGCTGTGTAGTTGGGCTTGTCTGTTATTACATTGATAGGTGCCAATATAAAAACATAACCAGCTAAACAGCCACTACCACAGACTACAGGTTGTGAGCCCCCCAAAATGAGGTTATAAGCAGATTTAGGCAGCTTGCAGTTGCAGTGGCAATGCCCCGGCACTCCTAGATGTGTCTACAACCTCCCTTCACGTGGCACTCGGCTCCCTGGTGGGCAGGAGTTGTGGAATCCCCTAGTACAACCCTATACTTCCTGGGCCTGTGCGTAGCAGATCTACAGTGATACTGCTGAGCTTCAGGCCTATGTGGCCCCTCTGTGGCTGGAAGGGTTTCACCCCCACGCCGTTTAATTGATGAAAAACTAAGGGCTGATGGAGAGTTGAATGATGAGGTTTGTGGCTTGTTTTGTGAAATCTTTATCTCCCCTCCAAAAAGGGCTGAACATTTAATGTTTTATCTCCATCATACTTACCAAAACAACCCCCAGAATGATAAAATTATGGAGTGGGCAAGGGTTATGCACATAGGTGCAAGGCTGATTTGGGGATGCCATTTTGAAATTAATGCCCCCAACAGCAATGAGTGCCCAGGAAATTACTTCACAGCCTAGATGGTGGGGGGCTAAACTTTGCTCTTGGTTACACACCTGCAGTGAGACTGCAGGGATGTGACCAAAGTAGATTTTGGCTCTTGGTGAGCTACTGCCTGTCCTGTTGTTATTTTAGGGGGAAGGAGTTGATGTTTACAATGTTCCCCTTCTCTTTATGACATATACAATTTAAAAAGCATGTTTGTTAGAGCTGATCATGAATTTTCTCTCAAAATGTTTATTGATGGAAAATGTAGTTTTAGCAAAATTGAAGTTTTTTCCCTGGGAAAAATGCTGACATTTTTTGATTTGCAGTTGGGATATTCAGAGCTAAATATTTTGTTTTGGGTTGGGTCAAGCTGAAATGAAAGAATCTGATTTGTTGAACTGAATCAAAACATTTCATTTTGGGTCAGTTTGACATTAATCTGAGTCTCGCGCGCTTCTGTGGTTCTAGTTTGGGTGCCTTGTGCCCCCATTTTTTCTGTGGGGCAGATTCCCTGCCTGGACTACATCTCTTCTGACTCACCACAGTCTCCCCTCTGGTTGAGTCAACATGGTGCCTCATGGAAGTTACATGGTGATGCTGCACCATGGGAGATGTAGTCTGGTGAGCCTAGCCCATAGAGGACAATAGCGACCTCATGAGGCACTTGAATTACACCTCCCATAAGGCACGGCAGCTTTGGGGGGGGGCACAGTTTAACGTAGAACTGAGTTGAAATTAAGCTTTCTGATTCAGTTCAACAAACAGAAATAAACTATTTAAATTTGTACTTCCTCCATTGTCAGCCCTTTGAAGCCTCTCCCCTGGTTTTAAACTGGCTCATGACCTTCTTCCTGATCCAGCACCATTTCTGACAATGGTATCCTTTGGGAGTTTTTTTGCTGGCTTTGTAAGAGGAGACTTAGTGCACTTTGAGGGCCAGATGTACCCTTTCGCTAATGGTGGTTGCAGATAGGTACCCTCACTAGCTTTAGTATGCCAGCTGAGGTAAGATCTCAGGGTGTGTCACAGTGGAACACACACAGCTCCGTGCAGCCACCAATGAGAATTGAGTGAGTTGCCAGGGCCAACTGCGTGCAAACCACCCCCCATGGTTGTGGCCGTCGGCCGTGCAGAGGTACTTCCTGTTGAACTCACCTTGTGCACCCCAGCGGGCACCGTCAGACATGGCATATTGGACTAGATGGACCATGAGTCTGACCCAGTAGGGCAATTCCTATGTTTCAATGTCCCATATCTGTTCTGAAAATCAAAATAGTCTATACAGTCTGATGTGGTCTCTGTCGGTATGCACTATAGTAGAACCATTGGTTTTCTCTTTGTAGGGAACATTTCACTCTGTGCAAAATTCTAGAACATTCCCACCCCTTGCATTTTCGTGGTTCTATTCTAGTGGGTTTGCCTTAGAGGTACAAGGCGTCAATCTGCAAGTCATTCAGCAACCTGGTACCTGCCAATTTAACTTACTGGCTTTGAAGAACATAAATTGAATTTTGGTCACCAGATGTTTTTTCATGTTGTTAGCTAACTGCAGTGTCGGAACATACTATGATGGGGAACAAGAACTCTGTGTTTTATGCCCTAATGGAACATACCAAGATGAGGAAGGACAAATAACTTGTGAACCTTGCCCAAGTCCTCAGAACCTGGGAAACCAAAAATTAACTGGAGCTCGGGATATATCCAAATGTGGAGGTAAGGTTCTTACACCCTACAGAGCTAGAAAAGGCACAGAAATGATGCCGTCACTCCTTACTTCACTCACCTTGAAAGTACCGTGTGTGCTATATAAGATCACCCAGCACTCAAAGGCCCCGGCAGTACCTGAGAACAACGGGGAAAGTTAAAAATGGAGTGGCAGCTGTGACTCAGAATTTCACTGCTTTTTGTATGTGATTCCAAAATATTGAATTCAAATCAGTTTCCTCCACAGTGGGTTTTACAGCACGTAACTACAGATGAAAGTGATTTGTGAAGACAAGTAATGTGCAAATGGCAAAGCTGCTGAGAAAAAGAGATCCAGTGGAGTAGATTTCATTCAGATATATTGTGTGTTCACATAGCTTCTGCCCTTGGATGAGTGCATAAGGCTTCCACTGAGCTCCTTGTGCATATCTAAAGACTGTGTTGGGCTGTTACTTTGTTCAGGGGGTGTATAATGTGAAGCTAGAGATCTAAGAAAAGTCTGGGGGGAAAAGTCGCACCTGATTTAAAAAATAAAATCTAAACCAGTAAAATAACTTCAGCAAAAAAGAAACAGTAAAGGAGAAGCACTTAGGAGGAAAGATGTTCTCACAGTTAGGTCATAGAACTGAGATACAGGAGATCGGGTTCTGTTCCAGATGTCTCTGCCACAGACTTCCTGTGTGATCTTGGCAAGTGACTTAGTCTGACTTTCAAAAGTGGTCATTGATTCTGGGTGCCTAAGTTGGCTACCTGCTTTTCAAAATTAACCTTACTATCCTTAACCTCTTCTGTACCTCATTTTTCTTGTCACTAAAATGAAAGTAGTTTGTGGGGGTTTTTTTAACCTCTTAGGGATGTTCTGAGGCTTAGTTCATTAATATTTGTGGGGCTCACAGACACTACAGAGATGTGTGTGCCATAGAAATACCTATAAAATAAAGAGGGACTTGAAAAGAGCCACGAGCAAATGAATGAGTATCCACAAAGTGCAGAAGGTTGGATAAAAGTGTTTTGTGTTGGAGAAATTAGAGTCAAGAATTAGGATGATATTTTTCTTCATTCAGTTTCAGTATAATGAGCCAGATAACATCACTTTATCTGCTGCCTATAATACACGAAGGAGAAGCTCATTATTAAACTGAATTTGTTAGCCATAAACAAAATTCTTCATCATTGATCATGACCAGTAGTTAATGTCCTTTTTGTTTTTTAGTCAAATATTTTGAAACGAAGCCAAGGCCAATTTAACTCCTTAACAAAACAGCCATTCACGGAATGATTTATTGGAGCTATAAACTAAAACTAACAACCGGTTTATTATCGCAACAGCTCTTTAAAAGGGCAAAATTTCTCAGCATGGCTGAACAACTGCAGCACGATTCTGTGTCATCCAGAGCAGTGTAATTACTTACCACTGTCATTGAAATCAATTGCTTGCTACAAGTTTTGAAGACAGATTTTATTTCAGAGATTTCCATAAAGGATCCACAGGGTCGATAGAGAATCAGTTCCGTGAGGTAAATCCTACCTTCATACCATAGCAGAGGAAAGCAATTCAGAGTGGAGACAATATCAAAGACCCAGAGTCTGAGGGCAAGAGTATTTTGAGTCACGGACTGTGGTGCAGTATGTGTTTGTATGGAGTTTAGCACAACCCCTGATCTGGATTGGGGTTTCAGGGTGATACAGTAATAAAGTGTTTGTTTAATTACTGATTATTAATAATAATCATTGTATAGAATAAAAATAAATTGTTAATTCTACAAAATCTGGGTTTCTGCTACTTATAGTTTCAGTGCTAGGTTAGTTCAGCTGCCTGTTTTATAGACTCTGAGCTCATTAACAAAATGGCAGGAGAGTCTACATAATCTGCAGCTATATGACTTAAAAATGCTATTAGTGGGCTAGCCCCATTGAGACTCTTCTATAATGAAATGTGAAACTCCTCACACCAGGTTCACTGAAGAGTTCACCAATGTTTGTGAACCAGTCAGTGTTCATTTTGATGTTACAATAGGCAACTTCTATAGGGCAGGTGCTGGCTCTTGCTTCCATTTAAATGAGAAAAGCCACAGGCAGCAGGGGAGCAGTGCTGTACTTTAATTGCAGCTACTGGGCCCTAATTCTCGCTCCCTAAAATCTGTGGAGTTCCAGCTCAGCAAGCCTCTCCCCCGTATAGCAGTGGATCAGAGTGGGACTTTGTTTTGGAGTACCTCCTGTGAGTTGTACCGGCAGCCTCCCTTGCTTGATTACTTGTGTCACATGCCCAGAGAGTTGTGTGTAGTGCAGGCAATCAGGGCTGAAAGAAAATGGGTGCAAAATAACACTGCATTTTTCATGCTTTCATTTGTGTCCATTTTGGAGACAAAAGGAAAAAGGGCTGGAATGTTGTCCTACAATTTTGAAGCAACATGTAGCAAAAATAGAACCAATTTTATTCCAAACATCATTGTATTAAAGCCTGTAAATGATTCCAGCCACGTACTTATTAAGATCTTATTTCAACCCATGTTTTGTTGCATAAAATTGGTTTCAGACTTTCATACTCCATACTTATGACCAAATGATTTGCACCAGCTGAGGAGCAGGTGCGTAATATTCTTTCAGCCATGAGACAGCTTCCATAAAGTTCAGGTTTATGCTAATGTGTTTTTATGTTCTCTAGGTCAGTGCTCACGGGGTGAATATTCCTCTGATGGCTTCAAGCCCTGTCTGCCTTGTCCCTTTGGAACATACCAACCTGAAGCTGGCCGGACAGCCTGCTTTCCATGTGGAGGAGGCCTGACAACAAAATACAGCGGTGCATCAATGTTTCAGGACTGCGAGACGAAAGGTAAGATCAAGAAGAGATACAATGAACTGCAGTGCTTTGAGAGACCAACACTGTCCCTGTTGTTATGAATGCTAAAGTTTAAAAGGGCAAAATATGTCCCCTTTTTAAAGCTATCGTTTCCCAGCATTCTCACACTTGAGTGTCATGCCCCTGGCTCAAGTCATGTGGGAGCTCTCTTACATCTCAAGTTTTTTTGGCATTTTGGGACTACCAGATGGTCTGGCAGATATCTTGAACCTGGTCAATGATTTGTCATGACGATCTGTGAAGACAGATAGAAAAGAACATAGGAAAAACCAGGTATTAATCTCAAGGACAAAGGAGAGCTGACTGTCTCTGAGTGATGGCTGGCAGCAAGATGGTCCCCTTAGTACCAGAATGGATGGATGCACAAGGGAGCCACACAATCATAACAACACCAACCCTTTGGGATCACAGAGGCCAAAGTACCCAAACTGGCTATAATGTTAATTATGTGCTGACTGGAAACCACAGAAGCAGCTAAAGGAATCCAGGGTCTGACTAAAGAGCAGTAGGTTCTGAGAGATGGATCCACAACAGTCAGAACCATTGACTAGCTCCTGCAGGAAGGGAGTCCTTTATGACCAGGCTGAAAATGGAATTAGCCAAGATGCTCTGGAGCATGATTAATGGGCATCATGTGGGTCAGAAGCCCCCCTGAAAACTTGAGTTAAGGGAGGTCCCACATAATTGGCACTTGAGCCCCAATGCCTGTGACCTACGATGAGAATCCTGTGGTGATGATATTTTAACCACAAAGGAGTTTCTTGTTAACATTTGCATTAAAAATCATAGGTTTAATGTAAGCAGCATTGTATTTTTTTTTTGCAAACAGTAATCAAAATTGGTTCTAATGGAGATGTATGGGATGTAAGTCCTGTGCAGGATTTTGCCCCATATCCTTACAAGTTCAGGAGTCATATGTAACCAGGGGGCAGGGGTTATAATGCATGATTCTAATATAGATTATTCTATCCCATAATAAGAGTGTTGTTATGGGAGTATAGCGTAATATGTGCATTAGTCATTGCATAAGACCTGCAAAAACAAGTGTACAAATCATGAAGGGCCAAATCCTCCTCCCCTTAATCATGGTGTGTAGTGCCCTACTAGACAATGAATTTCAGCAAGTCTGTTCAGGTAGTACTGTACTTCTCAGTATAAATAAGTGTGGCAGAATTGTTCCGTTGATATATGAATATACAGTTGATTTGCCATGTGTAAAACTATCAGGGTTGGACCATTTAATGAAATGTTCTTTTTTTCACTATCTGTTATTTACTTCCCCCCCACCCCCTCGCTCCTCACAGACAGACAGATACACATTCTTTCTCTTTCTTTCTGCTGTTTCTCACTTCTAGACAGGAACTAGCATGTGGCACTGTGAGCTATATTTGTGGTCTCACAAAAAGAGCTATGATATTGGAAATGCAGTAAGGAGCCTAGTACGCCTTCATTTTATTGCTGTAGCTCCACACAAGTATAACATTAGTTATTTACTTAGCTTATAATAAGTCCTATAAAAACATACATAAAGCTACTTTCTAGTGTCATAATCGCTTTTGGTAACTGTACTACATGTTTACAAACCCCTACAGTTCAATGTTCACCTGGTCATTTTTATAATACTACAACTCACCGATGTATTCGCTGCACAGTTGGGACCTACCAACCTGAGTTTGGTCAAAATTATTGTATTTCATGCCCTGGAAACACCACTACTGATTTTGATGGATCAACAAACATAACCCAGTGTAAAAGTAAGTATCACAAATGGATTTCTCAGCCAGTTAGAAATGAAACAGGTCAGAGTTATTAGCATCCAAAATGAGAGTTGTAGGGATCGAATTCAGATTTGGTGCAAGTGGGCATAACCACACGGAAGTCACAGGAGTTGCACCTGTTTACACCACAAGTGAGTTACGTCCCTAGAAGACTTATTGAGGCATCTAGCTCTGTGAATGAGGCTTGTAGTATTATTGTGCTAACAATCATTAATTTTGCCAGTCTGCACATGAGAAAGATCAACCCTGGGAGTGTTGGGCCGCACTTGGGTACTGCTGGTAGATCTTGGCTTTGCCATGTAATGCAAGAGATTTGGTTGGGTTCTTAGTCTCCTTTTCTCTCTCCCTGGGCTAGCAGGGGGAAGGAATGCGACTCAGGCAACTCACTCTGCTCTCTGGGCTTCTTAACAGTAACCTTTCCAGCTTATTACAGAACAGGCCCAAAGGGAGTCCCTGTTGGTTTCTGAATAATGGTGGCTGCAATGTAGGAAGATGAGGGCATAAAGCAAGGAGAATGAGGGGAAGAGAAAATCCTCTGATGAAACCCTGACTATATATATCTGCTTCTGGTAGCTGCATCTCTTCATAAACGAAGGGCTGCAGTTGTAGGGCATGCCACAGCCTTAACAATATTATAAGGCAGCAAGTGCCCAGACCCGCCCAGGTGCACAAGAAGAGTGTTCAAAACATCCTGCATGGGGGCTAGTCACAATCCCAGTTTTTCCGCATTCGTTTCTGCAAAAGAGGTAGGGAGGGGACTCAAGGTCATGGCCTTGCATCTCCCCGACAGCAGCCAATGGAGCACGTCTGGTATAGGAGGCATGCACACTGCACCCTCTGAATGGATGGGGCAGAATTCACTGTGTCCTGAGCTGTTGCAGACATTGTGCATCATATATTTGAATTTCCAATACCTTACACCCTGTGTAGTTACTTACCCCTGTGTAAAGCTGAGTATAAAAATGTTACCCTGGATGGGAGTGAGTGGAGAACTCTGACACGGTCGTGTTTTACATCCCCTTTGCAAGCGGCTGTAGCCTCACAGCCACCATATGCCTCTGTGCTAATAGTTAGTTCTGCTCCTAATTTTATTTTTCAGCCTGGATCTCACTATTTAAAGAAACAAAGGCAAAAGCAGGGACCAGTTTGATGTGCAGCTGACAGAGGGGTTCACCTGTTTCATATGCAAACAGAAATGGGTTCATATGTCTATTGCTTTTGCTGACAATGACTGTAGAGAAGGCTCTAGATATCCCTCTCCTCATTCCCCGGCCCTGGGTGACGTGTTCCTTTTTCAGATAGACACTGTGGAGGTGAACTTGGAGATTTCACTGGATATGTTGAATCCCCAAACTATCCTGGGAATTACCCTGCGAACATTGAATGTACGTGGACTATAAATCCACCTCCTAAGCGCCGCATTCTGATTGTGGTTCCAGAAATATTTCTGCCAATAGAAGATGAATGTGGAGACTACCTGGTGATGCGAAAAAGTTGTAAGTCTGAAATATCTTCCAAACCATATAATGTCTGTCTTTCCAATGGACCTCAGGGTGAAGAACAGAATTCTCCTGCTTATTCCACGCCTGGTGCATAAACTAAAAACCAGTCACCTAAAGCCTAGTTCTAAAGAGTAGAGAAATAGGTTTCATTTGACAATGAATTTGGAAATCCTTTCCAACATCCTTTCCATCATCATGTGGAATTGGGTCCAGATGAATCGAGGGCCTAAAGCTGAAATGTGCCATTGTGAGAAACCTTCATATAGCATTTGTAAGGGTTGATGAATGGTAAAGAGTTATGGGTACTTTTACCTCTAGGTGAGCCCTGCCCAGGTTGGACTGGATCGAATACTAATACCATCCGGATTGAGACCCATTCCACTTGGACCAATCAACAAGATGGAATTCAATAAAGACAAGTGCAAAATACTACACTTAGGAAGGAAAAATTAAATGCACAATTACAAAATGAGGAATAACTGGTGAGGTGGAGGTACCGCTGAAAAGCATGTGGGGGTTGTAGTGGATCAGAAACTGAACATGAGTCAACACTGTGATGCAGATGAGGAAAGGACTAATATTCTGGGTGTGTTAACAGGATTATCGTATGTAAGACACAGGAGATAATTGTCCCGCTCACCTCTGCACTGGTGAGGCTTCAGTTGGATTGCTGACCAGTTCTGAGCGCCACACTTTCAGAAAGATGTGAATAAACTGGAGAGAGTCCAAAGGAGAGCAACAAAAATGATAAAAGGTTTAGAAAACCTGACCTGTGAGGAAAGGTTTAAAAAAAGCTGGGCCTGTATAGTCTTGAGTTAAAAAAGACCCGGGGAACCTGATAACAGTTTTCAAATATGTTAAAGGTTGTTATAAAGAGGGCGGTGATCAGTTGTTTTCCATGTCCACGAAAGGTGGGACAAGTAGTAATGGGCTTTATCAGCAGCAAGGGAGATTTAGATTAGATATTAGGAAAAGCTTTTTCACTACAAGGGTAGTTATGCTCTTGAATAGGCTTCCAAGGGAGGTTGTGTAATTCCCATCATTGGAGATTTTTAAGAGCAGGTTGGACAAACACCTGTCAGGGATGCTTGAGGCTTACTTGGTCCTGCCTCCGGGCAGGGGGCTGGACTTGATGACCTCTCAAGGTCCCTTCCACCCCTGCATTTCTGAGTCTATGATTCTACATGTGCTGTGGAGAAACCATTTCAGTTTCTGGCACTGGCACATTTCACAAGCAATAGGTTTTAAGAAGCTAAAAGAAAATAAGAAAAAAATGTTTTATGAAAATAATTATGGAGCCAAGTTACATGGTCAGGGTATGAGCAAGCCTCCCATTTGCTTCACAGGGATCAAGGTGGCAGAGGCCCTCTTACCAACTGCAGGTCACCTGGCAAAGAAAAAACAGAGCATGCACTGACCAGTCACTCCCTGGATGCCCCCCCCTCCACAAAGCATTCATTGGACTACTGTAGGGCTGTAGTAACACCTCTCACGCTGCACAGCGCCAGTGGGATAAAGAAGCTTGAACTGAGCACTGATGTGATTCTGTTAAGGGATTCAGAGGAACAGCCGTGTTAGTCTGTATTCGCAAAAAGAGAAGGAGTACTTGTGGCACCTTAGAGACTAACCAATTTATTTGAGCATGAGCTTTCGTGAGCTACAGCTCACTTCATCAGATGTATACCGTGGAAACTGCAGCAGACTTTATATACACACAGAGAATATGAAACAATACCTCCTCCCACCCCACTGTCCTGCTGGTAATAGCTTATCTAAAGTGATCAACAGGTGGGCCATTTCCAGCACAAATCCAGGTTTTCTCACCCTCCACCCCCCCACACAAATTCACTCTCCTGCTGGTGCTAGCCCATCCAAAGTGACAACTCTTTACATAATCAAGTCGGGCTATTTCCTGCATAGATCCAGGTTTTCTCACATCCCCCCCACCCCCATACACACACAAACTCACTCTCCTGCTGGTAATAGCTCATCTAAACTGACCACTCTCCAAGTTTAAATCCAAGTTAAACCAGAACATCTGGGGGGGGGGGTAGGAAAAAACAAGAGGAAACAGGCTACCTTGCATAATGACTTAGCCACTCCCAGTCTCTATTTAAGCCTAAATTAATAGTATCCAATTTGCAAATGAATTCCAATTCAGCAGTTTCTCGCTGGAGTCTGGATTTGAAGTTTTTTTGTTTTAAGATAGCGACCTTCATGTCTGTGATTGCGTGACCAGAGAGATTGAAGTGTGCCACAAGTACTCCTTCTCTTTTTGTTAAGGGATTGTGGAGATCGGACACGAGCACTCTGTCCACAAACAAAAACTCAATTCCTGCAGCTCTGATTCCCTGGTGCCTGCACTCAGGATATGTCTACGCAGCAGAAGCTGGCTTACCTGAGCTTGGTTGAATCCAGCTAGCACAGGTAACAAGCAGTGAACACAGCACAGTGCAGGCTTCTGAGAGAGGAAGTGACCAGAACACCTACCCAGGGTCTGTGCTGCGCTTGTACTACCCATTGCTTGTTACCTGCGCTAGCTGGATTCAAACTAGCTCAGGTAGGCTAGTCCATGCACAGCTTTTTGCTGTGTAGACATACCCTTAGGCACTGGTCTGGGCTGTCTCCTGATTCAGTCAGCCTGCTGCACTGCCAGATAACATGTGGTCTGGGAGATTGCACCTTCCAGAGGCCAGATGAATTTTCTGTGCAAAGAACCCTAAAGTATTCAACTAATAACTGCAGTTGTCCTTTCAATTAGACTCTTGGGGTGGAAGTTGGCCTCCTGTAGCTGAGAGCAGAATTTGGCTCTGGCTATTGCCCAAAACAGTTCAGACTAACAGCAAAATCTTGGCACATTAATGTTTGCAAAATGAGGTGTAAACTGCACTTATTTAACTTGTATTCCTGTTATTCTCCTACCATAAAAGCATTTTTGTCACTATAGGTTAGTGTGTTTTTTAATCACTAAGTAACTGAAGAGTTAAGAACATAAGAACGGTTCTACTGGGTCAGACCAAAGGTCCATCTAGCCCAGTATTCTGTCTTCTGACAGTGGCAAGTGCCAAGTGCCCCAGAGGGAATGAACAGAACAGGTAATCATCAAGTGATCCATCCCCTGTCACTCATTCCCAACTTCTGGCAAACAGAGGCTAGTGACACCATTCCTGCCCATCCTGGCTAATAGCCATTGATGGACCTATCTTCCATGAATTTATCTAGTTCTTTTTTGAACCCTGTTATGGTCTTGGCCTTCACAACATCCTCTGGCAAAGAGTTCCACAGGTTGACTGTGCATTGTGTGAAGAAATACTTCCATTTATTTGTTTTAAACCTGCTGCCTATTGAGTTGCCTGACAGCTGCGTATTGTACATTTTCTTTGGAAGCTTCCTCCAATTCTGTGACCACATATGAAACCTGCCAAACCTACGAACGCCCTATAGCTTTCACATCTAGGTCTAAAAAACTGTGGATCCACTTCAAGTCAAATGAAGGGAATAGTGCCAAAGGATTCCAGGTGCCTTATGTAACATACGATGGTAAGTGGCTATTAACAAGTGATAAGTAATGTAGAATATTACAGTGGGAGCATGAACCTTTCAATCCCTGGAGGGTAGGAGGAGCACATTGTAAAACTGATAGAACTCTCAAAAAATGGAACCCTTGCAGTTTGGGGCATTGATACTTAGTCTATGTTTATTGCTGGTCTAACATGAGGGCCATGAGAATGTTAGCGTAGACTGGCTGTTGGCATTTTTACCACTGTATTGTCAAACTCTGCTCAGAGACAGTCTAGACTTGACTAGGTAGCTAAAACGCTTCTGGCTGGTGTATGCTAGTGCTTCCATTCGTGCTATGCTAGCACTGATGGTTCTGCAAAAATGTCAGTGTATACAAAGCCCTAGGCTTGCTTTGCCCTGTTGTTTCACAAACATTTTGGGAGGAGTTTTAGAGCTCCCCCCCCCCCTTTTTTTTGCATTGAGTTTGACTGACTTTACTTCTGTTAGAGTTTGCTTTTATTTATTTTTAGTGCACTTTTCTTGCATCTAAACATAGAAAGTTTTTTGCATACTTATATATTGTAATATTAACGTATTTCCAGTGACAAAAAATATGATTCTGTGCTTATCTGGCATTAAATTGACTTAGCTGAATGGTTGGATGAGCAGAGGACTTGTTTATGTGCAATTACATCAACTCCCACCCTGTACTGCAGATTATGACAGTCTGATTGTCAGCTTGTAAAATTTTCCAACAAGAACCTTCATACTTTCTCTTTCACTTCTGTGCATAAAGACTTACGCACTGAAATCTTCATCCCTGACATGGCCAAATTTGGTCTTGCTGCACTCAGTGGTATTCATTTCAATGGGTTCTGATCAGCTCTCACTGAAGACAATGGAAGCTGTATCAGGGCCTTTATAATAAGTAGCAGTTTCTATAGCAATAGGCATCCTAGCAATACCATAGTTATAAATTTAGATAGCTTGATAGCTTGAAAATGGACCACGGGACTTAAGCCTGTTTCCAATAACAGCCCCCAGCGCCGGTAGCTACACCTCTCGTGGAGGTGGGGTTTTTTTAGAGCGCTGGCTCTGCCATGACGAGCGTTGCCAGTGTAGACTAGCCCTGAGTAACTTTACACAGTGACAAGTATCAAAGGGGCAGCCGTGTTAGTCTGGATCTGTGAAAGCGGCAAAGAGTCCCGTGGCACCTTACATACGTATTGGAGCATGAGCTTTCATGGGTGAATACCCACTTCGTCGGATGCATGTAGTGAAAATTTCCAGAGGCAGGTATAAATATGCCAATGAAGCGAGCTGTCGCTCACGAAAGCTTATGCTCAAATAAATTGGTTAGTCTCTAAGGTGCCACAAGTCCTCCTTTTCTTTTTGCAGATACAGACTAACAGGGCTGCTACTCTGAAACTTTTCAAAAGGAGAGATTAGGCTTCAGTTTGGCGCAGGTAGCCTGGCTTTTCCTCTCTCTCTATACAGCATACACCAAACTCCCTGCCCCGCAGAGGGGCATCCATCTGGCAATTGGTCTGTAGCTGTTCCCTTCCCCGAGGGGAATGTTATTAGTGTTTTAAGGTGAAAAGGGGGGAGGGTGTCGCGGGGGGGGGAGCGGGGAGAAGCAGCAGCAGGATGAGGAGGGGAGCGGCGACAGCTGCATGGCAGGTGTGGGGGGGGCAGGTGGCGGGGAGGGGTCTGTCAGGGGGGTGAGGAGGCGAGCAGCAGCTGGGCGAGCGGCCGGGGGGCGGGGGAGGAAGTGAGCGGAGGGGGGACCTCAGCAGGGGAGCGGCGAGTCAGCGGTGGGCAGAGGTGGGACCTGGGGCAGAGCAGGGGGGTGGAGTGTGGGCGGGGTTGCGGCGGAAAAGGCGGGACGAGGAGCCAGCCTCCCCCGGGGAAAGTTTCCCCCAGCGCCCATGGTGCTGCACGTTCACACCCGTGCCCTATTAACGCCAAAGCGGGGCTTGACTGCAGACTGGGGACTGACGGGAATTACCTGGCGGGAACCCGGCCGTGCTGTAGAAAGGCAGCCGACGGTGATTCACGGAGCGTGCAGGGAGCCGGGGACACCTCAGCAGAGGGGAAGGAGGGAGCCGTAGCAGAGGGCAGCGCAGCTGCGGAGCTAAGAGATCCCCTTTGGTGCCGTCTCTCCTGAAGCTCACAGGCTTTGGTGGAGGCTGGCGGGCTGAGGCAGTGGAGTGCTGCAGGTAGCAACACCTCCGCGCCGGCATTTCTGAGGAGAGGTGCTCCCCGTGCCCTTCTCTCCTACCCTGCAATGGAAGATGCACCAGGACTCAGCCCCATCCCAGGGGCTGCCTGCTGTCTCCGTTCCTGTGGCTGTGAGAGGAGGTGGGGACCCTCTTCCTCCCAACAACCTCTCCTGTCAGCAGCCCCTTTCCTTTGGCGGCAGGGATGCACATCCGATGAGCCTCAGGAAGCTGGTCAGGCTGTGCGAGGGACACACTGTCCTGCTCACAGGGCTGGATTTACACTTTCCGTGCCCCTAGGCACAGCATCTTCAGCCCTCCTCCCCCACCCCCGCCTACAGCTGACCTTCGTGTTTTCCCTAAAAAATGAAACCTTTAACCCACTTGTAACTTTTAGGTGCCCCTAGAATGCCGGCGACCCTAGGCACATACCTACTGTGCCCAATTGGAAATCCGACCCTGGCTGCACGCATTCATCTCCTTCACCCTTAACTCCAGCCTCATGCTTACCCTCGAAACTTCCCAAAGCTCAGCCCTTAACCTGGACCCCAGGTTAGAAATCCCGGCTCCTTTGAAGTCAATGGCAAAAACACACATTGACTTCAGTGGGGCCAGAGCTTCACCCCCCCCAGGGTGTCTCCTCTGCACCTGTGTCACTGTTGGTGAGGTTGGACTTAAGGCTTTGTCAGACAGTGTGAGCTAGGTGTAACATTTCCCTGTACCCACTGGTGGGCTGCAGTGTCTCACTTACAGTGAGTAATTCATTGGTTGGGGGAAGACCTCACCCTTAGCTTGGAGTTTCCTTCCTTTTAAGGCTTTTGTTGCCTGGGAGGGTTTTGCCCAGGCTCAACTGTAACTGCCCTTTAAGAAAGTTTTTGATTATAATATGAAAAATCCAGCAAAAGATTCAGAATATTTAAAGATGGATTTTGTGTGGATTTCTTTAGCAACATAATAAGTTTGAAGCATGCCACATGGTTACAATTCATAGAGCTGTCCCCAGGTTGCTGCTTCTTTCTCTTGCCTTTGACAGATTGATGATGAATAGCTCAGCTTGTGTCCTCATAATAAATAGTACAGTGTATTTATAGGTCATTTGAAAAACCAAAGATTGCTAATTTGAGAGCCAGATGTTTGGTGTTACATGTGAACTTACACGCCCACACCCTCCCTGTTGCATCCAGTGGCCAGCAGCTCACTCATGTGTTAAGGGAAGAATGTGGCCCTCATTGATTATGCAGCTGAGTCTAACAGGCAAATGATTATATCATGTGTCCCCAACAGAGGATTACCAGGAGCTAATAGAAGACATAGTTCGGGATGGTAGACTCTATGCATCTGAAAATCATCAAGAAATACTTAAGGTACATTTCCTCTATTAAAGCTTTGGTATGAGAATTAATGGAGAGATTAATACAGAATTGTAAATTACACTTTCTTGTGCTATTGAAGTTACTTCCCCACATGGAATTCACTCCACTGAGGCCCTCTCTTGGACTGTCTGCATGAGCAACATTAATGCCTTCCAAGACCCCTATGCTAGCCCTATAGGTCCAAGCCACTTCAGGGAGGTGCTAAATCGGTGCACACCCCTTCCCAGGCCTCAGCATCAATGAAGCCCCCTGCCTAGATGTGGACAGAGCAGCTGCACAAGGGTGCCTATGCATCTCTTAAGTGCCAGGAAAAGGATCTCCAGGCTGGCTTCACATAGGCCATCTTGGAAGGCTGCAGTGGGAGCAAGCTTGGGAAGGGGGACATAGGCTTACATCTACTTGGATCCAATGCCCTGCACAACTGGCACGGAGAGACAATGGTTGCTATTTCAGCTCACAGAATAGGAGCCTTGAAGGAGGGAGTGAGGGCCCTGCAGTTATTAGCCCTGGATTGGAGAGACTGATTTCACTTCTCTGACACACATCACACTCCACCTTTTACAGAGCCCAGTACTCAGGTAGGTGGAGTAGATTTCACCCAAAAAGCACGTTTCTCCTGTCAGAACTCAACTCAGTATTCTGCTTTCTGTACATGCTTGGATCTGCCAGTATTGAAATAAAGGCTGGGGTGAAAGCCTGGCTCCACTGAAGTCAGTGGCAAGATTTCACCAGGATTTCACTCCAGCTGTGTAGATCTGAGAGCCCACATTAGTGACTGGAAAGAAAAAAATTCAAGGCCATTGCCTCTATTAAAACAATCTGCTATGGAATCATTGGGGATTAAGTGTTGGTGACTCTGAATGTAACTAGTCTGTTCATTGACAGTAAAAAAATCTGCCTTACCTTTTTCAGGATAAGAAGCTGATAAAGGCATTGTTTGATGTCTTGGCACATCCACAGAATTACTTCAAGTACACAGCACAAGAGTCTAGAGAGATGTTCCCACGATCCTTTATTCGACTGCTGCGCTCTAAAGTTTCCAGATTTTTGAGGCCTTACAAATAACCGGTCCTACATTTTGAACACTAAACAGCCCCTAATGATGCAGCAGAGCATTGGGATGGATGAGGCTGTGTCTGAGTGTTTTGCACACTGGCAGAGAGACTGCAGGGAAGCTCTCCAATTAGTTCTTTTGCAGAGTATGGCTTTCATAGCTAATATAAATGTTTTTGGTGAACAGAATTTTGATTCCTTTCCAGATGATCCCTTTCGGGTCACAAGATGCTCTCCGGGTTAAATGTCTGTTGGATTAGAGACTGGCAATGTTTTCTGTAATTAAATGATGCCAGGCATGATCTCTTCAGAGCTCTGTCCTGTTGCTGCATCAGTAACACAAAAGCTAATAAATGTGGACGTGCTAAGTACTGCCGTGTGGCTCTGGGCTGTAATTAAGGCTTGTCACCTCCAGAAAGCTGGACTCACATTCAGTCTGGTTGAAAGTGAAAACAAGTTTGATGTCCCTCTCAAACCTTCACTGCCAGGAAATTCAGAGCAGAGGTTGAAATGGTCTTAACCCAAACCAGTGAATCCAAGTTTTGCACAAGATTTTCTCTCTGTGTGTCATACTAGATATAGTACCTATGCATGGCAAAGTAAACTAAGGATGAAATTTCAGCCTGAACTCTATGGAACAGATTTACCACTGCATTGCTCCAGTTTCGCTGATGTCTGTCTTTTGATTTCAGAGGGGTTATATTAGAGTAAAACGGGAGTACCACAATGATGAATCAGACCTTGATCAAACTGATCCACCAGCCAATTTCCCTTGTGTATATGGATGCAACAGCTCCTGGAGCCCTGAGTTTGAAGAAGTGGCAGAATGGCTATGTAACTTCTCTCTGCTAGATCCCAGTATATTTCCCCTTCCACACAGCCCCTGTTCTTAGGTTATGTCCAGGAAAGAGGCTTTGGCCCTTTGAAAATGGAGTGTTATGAATGTTCTTATATGGGCAACTGCAGATTAACTCCCAAGTCCCATTTTAAATATTCACCTCAACATTAACCTCTCACACATCCCTGTTACATCTTTCCATGTTCCCCCATTACCATAGTAACGGGCACCTCACAACACCCCTGTGATGTAGGGAAGTGCTATTATTCCCATTATACAGATGGGGAGCTGAGGCACAGAGAGACTAAGTGGCTTGCCCAGGGTCACACAAGAAATTTGGCAGAGTAGGGAATTGAACCTAGGTTTTCTGACTCCCAGGCTAATGCCCTAACCACTGCACCATGTTTCCTACAGGCTAGAAAGTTATCCTGAAAGGATTCCCACGGAGAGTTACTCTTGTTTGAACTGTTTGTGCTGTCTGAACGCAGTTCTGGTCAGAGTTTAAATTACTTCATAATCTTGTGGATGTGTACAATCTTCTCAGCAAAAGATGCTCTTGCTGCTCTGTGTAGGAGACTGTGCACAAATCCCTCCAGTCCAGAGATGGCCCCAGTATCTGTCTCTCTAGGGATTAGTCACGAAGTGCTGTGAGATGGAAACAGCAAACATTTTTGATCCAAATGATTTACTGTGTGTTTCTTTTTGAAAGGTACAGGACCCTGCAAGCTGAGGTCCTGAAGTGCGATCGTAATGAATGCAATATGTACTTGAGCAGGGATCAGTAACCTTCGGCACACGGCCCATAAGGGTAATCCGCTGGCAGGCCGCGAGACATTTTGTTTACCTTGACTGTCCACAGGCACGCCCCCCCCACCCCCCGCATCTCCCAGTGGCTGCGGTTCGCTGTTCCCAGCCACTGGGAGCTGTGGGAAGAGGTGGCCATCACGTCCCTGCAGCCTGCGCCGGGACTGGGAATGGCAAACCGCAGCCACTGGGAGCTGCGGGGGGCCGTGCCTGCGGACGGTCAACATAAACAAAATGTCTCATGGCCCGCCAGCAGATTACTCTGATGGGCCGCATGCCAAATGTTGCCGACCCCTGTACTAGAGTTTGGAACCAAGGAATTGCCTGCAAAGACAGTAACACTCTTTTGGCTTCATTGTACTAGCATGGGGTATATAACTATTGTATGAGAATAATACCATGTTCACAGTGGAATGGATGAAACTAATGTACAAAGAGAAGACATTTAAAATCTCTTACTTGCCTTATAAGAGTAAATGAATGTCACTGAAGGGCTGTCTACCCGATTCACAATGCAATAAGAGCTCAGTGCTGTAGTTCTGCAGCATGCAAAACTTCCACTGGTTTCTGTGCACAAAATACCTGTAGTATTAGGTTTCAGTACTCCCCTTGGCTAGCATTCAAGGCCATGCCTGTGCCTCCAGGCCACACTACTCATGCCCATCCAAAGTGACTTTTTTGTGGTTTGGATGTGCTGCTGGGGATATAAACCCAGTTCATACAACTGCTATAGACCTAAGCCGCTGAAACAATTCAACTTTATTTCCCAGAGAGACATCAACCAAAATGATTGATTTAAAAGAGGAACCAAGAATAGAAAGTTCTGAAATGTCCACATGTTGTATTTGTATGTTGGTGAATTTGGTGGGCCGATTCCAGTGTACGCTGGGACAATGGAAAGGCTCCTATTGACTTCAGTGGGCTTTGGAACAGTCCCACTGCTGCTCATGCTGTGTCCAAATTCATTTCTACTTTCACATTGTTTCCATATGGCAAATTTCTCCCCTAAAACCCACATGGTGGATATCAAGTCTGATATTCCATTCTCCCAGGTTGTTGTGGTGATTTCCATTGTTGTCAATGGATATTCACAGTTTGTAGGGAGAGAATAGTATTAGAGGCAAAATCTATGTTGCTGAACTGTGTCGAGAATTCTGCCCTTTGTAAAGAAGAATAATTTTTCTCCATGGCAATGTTTGGTTTTGGCAAATGCTCAATAGCAATGTTTGGTTTTACCTTTAGCGTGACCTTTGTACTAAACAGTATGAGCAAAATTCCTCTCTGATCCACACTGTAGATTTCACTATTGATTTGCAGTGTAAAATGACTCTTACCCTAAGAAATCACTTTTGCCACCTAAAGAGAATGAGAACTGATCACTATTTCAGAGTGGAATAGTGCTTGGAATTTTAACTCCAAAGTGAGGCCAGTAGTTATAGATATAGTTCTGTAGACATTTAATTTGAGTTCTACATCATGTTTGTAGACTGTGACTTTTTTTTTTTCAGCAAGAAAGAATTCAGAAAATTTGTAACCTTATAAAACAGGATTTAACTTTAAAAAGATATTAGCACTAACTGGATGATTTACCATCTCTTGTATGAAGTGGATTCGTGAGGATTGTTCTCATGACTGTAAATTATCTAAAACGTTTCAGATTGTTACATGATACTCTTAATAAGAGAAATAAATCAGTGACTTTTTAGTTGCATGAGAAAAACACTGGATAATGTTTTCAGTTTTCTTTTATTATCAAAACAGTATTTTGCTCAGACTAATGGCTGTATAGCAAGCTATCCCACAAGAGATAAACTTCATGTCCTGGGAACATATGTTACCTTTTATTATATATTCTCTGTAATTAGTGAGTTTTCCCAGTCATACAAAAGTGTACATATTTTTGAAGAACATAAGAACTGTGTTATCTTGGCATTTAGTATTATAATCCAATGAGGAAAATACAGAAGGGTTTATAATCTTGCAATTGACTAATATGTGGATATAAAAAGGAATTGGGTAAACTACTGGTTGCATATGTCAAAGAATGAACTATATGTAACAGCTACAAAGCATTTTGTCAGTTTATGATATAAAATTACAATCACAATAATTACTATAATAATAAAGAACTAAGCAGTTTGCACAATTAATTTAAGGCTAAACCCTAGCTTCATTGAAGTGTCTGGAAATTTTAAAAGTGATGTAAATGGAAATTTTAAAAGTGATGTAAATGGATCTAAAGAATCATTTAGATTTAAAAAAAAAATCTAAACCAGGATTAGGCCAGAAGAAATTATAAATAATGTGGTTGTCTATTACAGTGGTTCTCAAAGCCGGTCCACCGCTTGTTCAGGGAAAGCCCATGGTACGGCGGACTGGTTTGTTTACCTGTCGCGTCTGCAGCTTCGGCCGATCGTGGCTCCCACTGGCCGCGGTTCACTGCTCCAGGCCAATGGGGCCTGCGGGAAGCAGCGCAGGCCAAGGGACGTGCTGCCTGCCCTTCCCGCAGCCCCCATTGGCCTGGAGTGGCAAATTGCGGCCAATGGGAGCCGCGATCGGCCGAACCTGCGGACATGGCAGGTAAACAAACCGGTCCGGCGCGCCAGGGGCTTTCCCTGAACAAGCAGTGGACCTGCTTTGAGAACCACTGGTCTATCACACAATTTAAAACTACTGTTTCTTCCTATTGGTTTCTGTGATGCTGAACTATGAGTATACTTTCTTTACTTGGTTTGTCAAATCCTCTTATAAAAATAATTCCTATACAGTGCCTTCCGCTTAATTCATCCACTGGTAAGTTTGATCCTTAATTTAATTTGATTACAACCACAGGAACTGATTTGTATTAAAATTAGTGTAGACATTTGGACTTTGTTCGTTTTTGGTAAGTGTGACTGGCCACTTCAATCACTATTTGTAGAAAGCTGACCTTTTAATGAAAAGCAGTGTTGTAAAAGAAAGAGAAGAGCATAAAGTCCAGGGAAGGTCTATGATAATAACAGGCCAATTAGAGTGAAAAGTTGAGCTATTCAGATGTGCTTTCTGACATTATAAGCACTATTGTGTGCTAGGTAAACTATATACACTGTGTCAGAGGAACAGCCGTGTTAGTCTGTATTCGCAAAAAGAAAAGGAGTACTTGTGGCACCTTAGAGACTAACCAATTTATTTGAGCATGAGCTTTCGTGAGCTACAGCTCACTTCATCAGATGTATACCGTGGAAACTGCAGCAGACTTTATTGCAGGTAGGAATAGCGGTCAGTAGGTTTCCGGTATAGGGTGGTGTTTATGTGGCCATTGTTTATTAGCACTGTAGTGTCCAGGAAGTGGATCTCTTGTGTGGACTGGACCAGGCTGAGGTTGGTGGTGGGATGGAAATTGTTGAAATCATGGTGGAATTCCTCAAGGGCTTCTTTTCCATGGGTCCAGATGATGAAGATGTCATCAATATAGCGCAAGTAGAGTAGGGGCTTTAGGGGACGAGAGCTGAGGAAGCGTTGTTCTAAATCAGCCATAAAAATGTTGGCATACTGTGGGGCCATGCGGGTACCCATAGCAGTGCCGCTGATCTGAAGGTATACGTTGTCCCCAAATGTAAAATAGTTATGGGTAAGGACAAAGTCACAAAGTTCAGCCACCAGGTTAGCCGTGACATTATCGGGGATAGTGTTCTTGACGGCTTGTAATCCATCTTTGTGTGGAATGTTGGTGTAGAGGGCTTCTACATC